GGGGCACCACAAAGGAGACAAGGAAGATACCAATAAACAAAGTATATCACCGGTTTTGTTTTGGAGCACCAGCTGGCCAGATTTTCTCCCTTAAGGATGTCTGTTTTCTTCACCAAGGAGCAGCCGATTTTCCCTCACAAATTACCCACTCTAAGTTAACCAAGAGAATAGATATATATAGGATGATTATTGTTCCACCAATTAGGCTAAGACATTAATTGGGCCACTAATAAAGACCACACCTATCCAGCAATAAATGGGCTAATGAAATCACAATTCAACCCAATAACTTGGACCATCCACGAGTGTTGGGCCACGAGCGACATTAACTCAATTAAGTTGCTTCTAGTGGCCCCAAATTGTTTCCGGGTCGAGCCATCACGATTTTTTACATCATCGCCTGGATTTATTGGGTATCAAAACCCAACAGTCCAATTGACAATGACTTCACTATTACATAAACTAGTGGTAAAACTCACTAGGATTGAATAACATTACTCGGGTTAGTATATAGTTGCGATTTCTTCAAGGCGGTTTGAACTTTGAACAACATTTATTCAAGTTTACCATTCGCTTCATAAAATGATTGAATAAAGGAATATTTCGTAGTTTGTTCAAATGATCAATTTCCACATCTTTATGCTCCAGGTGTTAATTTTGGAGTTGTCTTCTTTGTTTCAAATATCAACTATTTTAATCTGAAATAAAATTACTGACAAGAAATACATAGAAAAAAGGTACATTAGTCTTGCTCAAGTCACTTGAAAACTTCGTCCAACAAATCAATATTGGTAAGCGTTACTTGTTTGGTCGAGAAAACCAAAATATAGAGGGAAAAAAAGGCATCCATAACATACATCCTTCCTGTCTCCATTTTGGCCTGTAAGAGTGGAATTTCTATTGGAGTCACCTCCCTTGAGGAATCTCGTAGTGTAATGAAACTAAGCGGATAGGTGTTTTTCCGGTATTTATTTGAGAATTTTTAATAAGATTTTACAGTATCAGGAAGATCACCAGAAGCTGACAACCCTTTCAATGATCAGGAAGTATACACCATGAAGTTTGCGCTTTAAACCAAATAATATCACACACGAGAATTGCCATTACAACAATTGTAATGGCACGAGAATATGCCACTCAAATGATCTGGTCGAATGCCATAAAAAGTTTTGCCTTTCCTCTCCAAAAGAGTATACCAGACAGACACACATTTAAGGTTTATAGTTAAGGA